AAAAAAAAAACAAACAAATAAAACAGCAGCTCTGGGCTATGAACAGAAATGCTTTTGGAATAGCTTTTACCTCAGGGAACAAAAGAAAGTGACTGTATTTTCAAATGGAATTGATGGATACCGAGAAATGCCCTGCAATATAGAGTACTTGCTATTTTTTATTTATTGTGTCCAATCAGCATACCATCGGTGTAATGGGCTAAAATGGAAGAGAAATGTGATGAAAAAATGTTGTGAACCCTCTAAAGCTTAGGAACCATTGCCGAAGAGATGTACAGGTTGTAATAGATGGAGACTGAGAAGTACCAAGGCAAAATTGTCTCTGGACATGGCAGGCCTGCTGCACACATGAACTCACAGTAACTGTGGTTGCTGACATGGTACCTGCTCTAGATCGAACCAGTTAGCTTTCCAGGAGGGCAGCTTCTATCCCCAACTGAAGAGCGATGAAGAGCTGATATCCCCTGAGGGAGGAAGAGTCAGTGCTCTTTATGGGTGTGATCCCTGGAAGGTCAACGAAGCTCTAGTGGATGTCCCCTCAGCCTTGAGTAAATGGGCAAGCACCAAGTGGAGTTTGTAGGTTATTATTAACACACGAGGTTGTTTGAGGGAAGAGTGGGTCTTGGAGGAGTCAGAGAGAGGAATTGGGGGTGAATATAACCAAAATACATCATATGCATATAAAAATGTCAAAGAATTAATAAAATACTTGATTGAGAATAATTGTTGTAAACTCATTACGACACAGGACCAGCAAGCTGAAAAGCCTCTGTGGTAAGACAGCGACTGTGACTTCCTAGTCTTGCCACCTGAAAGCAAACTGCTCCTTTGTAGTCTTCGCTAACAATCAGGGAGAGGGTCTTTCCTAGCTCAGCGGCTCCACACCAAGTTCTAGGGCATCTCTCAACTTGTTAAATCAATGGACCTACTCCTGGAACAGCAGCTACAGTGGGGATTGCCACCTGATTAAATTGACAATAACCCACTGCTGTCTTCCAAAACCGACCTGTCTCCTACATAGGCCAAATAGGCAAGATGGATGGAAAGGGAGTGGGAGTCATTGCCTCTGCATGCTTAAAAATCCTTCACGCAGGGCCAGTCTCTGTAATTCTGTCAGGAATGGAGAACACCGGTGTTGCTTTTCTGTTTTACTACAAAAAAAGGTAGTTCTAATGGTTTCCACATGGATTAATCTGTTGCAATAGTGCTCATTCTCTAAGTGAGGGTGTGGGAATGCTGCTGAGCGTATCTGTTCCAACTGTACATTTGGGAAGGGGGAAAATAACTGTAGGGTGGATTCAGAGAGCTCTTAGACCCACAGGGAGAATGGACCTGAGCTAACGTGCCATTAATCACCTGACCTCCATAACTGCTACCAGTGACGCTTCAGACCTCCTCCAATCAACGTAATTTCACATTCAGGAGCCATTAGTCCTTGAAATCCCAATTTTTTCCATTTTCCTTATTGCCCATTTTTTCCAGTAAAAGGCTTTGATTCCCTTGGGGGAAATCTGCAGAATGATTGGCAGAATATGCTTTGGAGATTGCAGCAGAAAAGGGAGCCTGTCCTTTTTCCAAGGGAGCCTGGCCTTCCCTTTCATTCAAGAGGATATAAGCAAATCTGAAAAGTGGCAGAGATGTTGATGACTATGTTTAGTCTCCTATGAATTCTGCCTAAATTTTGTTTGCTTACAAACATCTCGTAAGAATGTAGGCACCAGGTGGTGGTGGTGCACACCTTTGATCCCGGCACTCAGAATGCAGAGGCAAGCAGATTTCTGTGAGTTTGAGGCCAGCCTGGTCTACAAAGTGAGTCCAGAACAGCCAAGGATACAGAGAAAAATCCTGTCTCAAAAAAAAAAATTAAATTAAGTGAAACAAAAATAAAAATTAGAAGATGAAGCCAGGCATGGTGGTGCAGGCTATTAATCCCAGCACTCTGGGAGGCAGGGGCAGGTGGATCTCTGTAAGTTTGAGGCCAGCCTGTTCTACAGCATGAATCCAGGACAGCCAAGGCTACACAGATAAACCCTGTCTCAAAAAACAAAACAAAAAAGCAAGCAAGCAAATAAACAAAAATAAATTAGTAGATGGCTCACCTATTTTTCTTTATGGGAAGTTATGAACAACTAAGTCAATATCATAAATCTCTTCACTTAGTTGTTGATGATTATTAATATTTAGTATTGATTTATCTTTTAGGTAAACAGTGGTTATTCCTAAACCAGCTGTATACCCAAATCACCACACAGAGACTGTGATTTATTTAATTAACCTAGAGCACAATGCTGGGCAATAATTATTCTATCCTAAACCTCCAAGCCCGCATAGTTTCTTCCTATTCAGATTTCCTATTTTATACTTCCTTTTCAGCCATATCTTAGGTCTGGTTCATTTCTCCTGGTGTTTCCTGGTCCTCTTCTCTCTGGTCTCTCTTCCCACTCTTTCTTTTTCTTCCCCCTCTGGACAAGGATGTCCCACTCTATTCTCTCCATTACACAGCATTAGCTGTTTTTTGTTTGTTTGTTTGTTCCTTTTTAAATATTTATTTATTTAATGCGTGTGAATGCTCTGTTTTTACACACACCAGAAGAGGGAATCAGATTCCATTACAGATGGTTGTGGTTGCTGAGAATTGAACTCAGAACCTCTGGAAGAGCAATCAGTGCCCTCAACCACTAAACCATTTCACCAGCCCACGCTGGTTGTTTTTATTGGCAATACAGAGAACAAATGGTGGCATGTTTACACAAACTTGAGACAGGTGATGCTTAGAATAAACATCACAATGCAATGTCCAGATTGAAACCAGATAGTGGGGTAGAGAAATCAGCATTTCAATGAACAAAGGTGAGTTGTATACATTCCACAAGAACATTATACCAATACTTAGACTTCTCTTGTTTCATGCCACCCTGGTATTCAGCTACCTCATTTCACTGGGAGCACTGCCCACTGAACTTTCTCCTCTTTCTCCTCCTCCTTTTCCTCCTCTTCCTCCTTATCTTCCCCTTTCTCCTCCTTCTTCTCATCTTCTTCTTGTTCTTTTAGAGACAGAATTTCTCTGTGTAGCCTTGACTGTCCTGGACTTGCTTTGTAGATGAGGCTGGCAGCCCTCAAACTCAAAAATCCACCTGCCTCTGTTTCTCTAGTGCTGACATTAAAGGCCTGCACCACTATGCTTTGCAAAGAAACAACCAGAATTCCTAAAGGTTTAACATGCAGATGAAGGGGGTGGGGTGGGGTCTGTCGCATATTGATGTTTCATAGTCACTAATGTGTATTTTAACAATCTGCATGGTGGGTAAGTATGTGTTTAGGTTTGTGTTCTTCCTAAGCCTTTGTATACAGTTATACCAAGGTTGTTTAGTCATTTTAACTCTATTTAACACAAGCCACCCTTTGATTCATGTTTCAGGGAAATTATAAGACCTCTTTTACACCCATGTACCTCTTACAATATTTTTTGCAGTCATCCTCACTCCACAGGTGAATGAAATGATGCTCTGGTCATTGAAACCAGTTTTGCACATGGTAAACAGCAGCTCTGCTGAGCTACTATCTCCAGCTCTTTCTAAATCCTTGAGTTTTACCATTAAATTCAGAATCTCTGTGCAGTGGCTCA